ATATGCTGACTCTGTAAACCGCTTAGAGAGGGCTGAAAGCCCTATGAAGCGGTATATAAGTCTAACTGCTATTGCTATTGCTATTCCCCCCCGCCCCTCTCTTCATTTGAGCTGCTTTCGGTTTGTTTTAAAATAAACAACGTTCGAAACCCATCCTCTCTCTTAGGACTGTGACTAAAAAATACTTGATTCTGTTGGGAAAAGTTACCCAAAGTCAGATTTATCGATTACAATTACCTTAAGCAGGGAAGGTAGCTGGCTAGTTCTCCATCTGTTTGTTTTCGAATGATTTTATCAGAAGGGGGGGGGAGAGTGACCAACCACAAGGCCAAAGAAGCACCATCTGACACACCCCCACCCCCACCCCCCAAATCAAGTTTGCAAGCGTCTGCCCCACCAGGTTGGCTTCAAACCGAAGTTTAGCTTTGCTTAAATCCCATTCGATGAAGCAGAAAATTCATACGGGCATCTCCCTCAAGAGTTCCTTTCACAGCATCTGTTGGGCATCTCAAGGGCATGTTACCATCTGCCTCTCTCGGCTCCTCGGAGCTCAGCCAGGCCCCGTCTCTGCCAGACGGCTTAAACACTCTCTGCACATGGACGTAGGCTCTCTGGCGCTTTCAGAGCAGGAAAACTGGGGGTGTGGGGGGGGGAAGGGTGGCCAATCCTTGTAGCCACCCCATCTAAGAGCGGAAGGGGCCTCTTCCCTGGTTCTTCGGGGCAAAGGAAAACAGCTACCATCACCCCAGCTGGAAAGTGCCAAGACTTGCCCCCTCGCCCACACCTCCTGGCATCCCTATTAGAAAAGATTTCCCCGCTGCTCTCTTGGCTCTCAATTCTGACGTTTTGGAAGAAAGAACCTGCTACCCTTCGCAAGTGTTTCGGAAGACGGCACCGCCAAAAAACCAACCCCCGGGGGCAGCTGTGGGCGACGTTTTTCATTTCCTGCCTTGGCAGAGCGGCAAGAGGCTTGGCTTTCGCAGGAACTCAAGCCTTCCAACGGAGCCGCCCTCGTGACTGGGCCTCCTCTGGCAGCCTTGGCGCCTCTGCTCTTTAAGGCCCCTTCCAGGCCCTCGGTACCGTTGGATATTTGAGGGGTGGTGGTGGGGAGCGGCCTCCCCTCCCCAAACCTGCCACGTGTCAGCGAGAGGAGCAGATTTCCTTCCTTGAGGGGCGGCGGAGGGGGAGGGGGGAAGCTCTCCAAAGCAGCATCCGATGCTGCAGGTAGGAGTGAAAGGGGAGGGGGTGTGTTAGCAGGTGCATGAGAAGAGATGCCCTGTTGGACCACTCCTCCATCCACTGGGGAGTCCAGGATGCTGGCTCTTGCGCAGCTAGATGGAGGCCTCTCGGGTGGGGGGGGCTTGCTCCAGATTGCCAACAGCTTCCAGGAAGAAAGAAAGAGAGAGAGAGAGAGAGAGAGAGAGAGAGAGAGAGAGAGAGAGAGAGAGAG